TTTGGTATAATAGCGCATGAATGACGCCCTCTTGCTAAATTGGAAACTTTTGAACCTTGACCGACGCTTCTATTTGTTACGCGTAAATCGCGGAGAACGCTATCTTGTGTTTATAAGATCTTTGATTTCGATTTCGTCAATGAAGAAATGAATTTTAGAGCTGTCTCTCTCCCGTGGAGAAAAGGGGAATTGACCAATTATAACACGGTTTCACGGATTCTGCTAGTTTACGCGAATGTGATTGGTTGATCGTGTAGTCACACACTCGACACGTGCTGTTATCAAAACAATAACATTGGTGAGCCACAAACCAATTTACTACAAACAACGCGATAGGATATGAAGTTTGAGAGAATAATTGGTATGAATGATAGTATAATACATATTCCCAAGTATCGAAATGCACGCCATTGTGTCGGGATTCAATATTTCGACAATAATTATGTCATCATCAGGAATCACTAAAGGCCTGGTTGGGGACCAGGGGGCGAAGCCCCCGGAAGCTTTGGCGCATAGGCCTATAGCCTTTTGATGATTTTAAGCAATGCAATTAACCTTTATTTCCATACGAAATTTTCAAAATATCCAGTGGCGGATCCAGTAATTTGAAATGGGCCCAGCCAGAGAGGGACTTTTACAGATGGAGAGTGTAGACCACCTCAGCCCCATGGTTGGGGCTTAGGTAAGAAAATTTATGATGGCACTTCTAGTTAGTCGGAAATTGCACTCTCAGACTGAATTTGAATATAATTTTAATTTTTTTTTTCCACTTTTAAATTTCGAAAAAAAAATATAGGGATGGTGGGATGGCTGGGCCCCTTGAATCTGCCACTGAAATACTCATCATAAAAAAAGTTTTTAAAATTATCCTTTTAGTTCTAATTATGCCCGCTTATGTATTTCGTGCAAACTAACCTTTAAAAATAATGATTTATTATCTACTGATTAGTTTGTAACCTATTCAAAATTCGAACCATGAAAAACAAATAAGATAAACTTAAAACAGTCATTAATTTAGTCTTTTTGCATGTACAGTACTTTTAAAATCAATCAAGAGGTTTTTGCTTTTCTCCTTTTTTTAATTTCACTTTTGTGTAAGTAATATTTCGACTACACTATTGTGAGTAGAAATAATACCGTCTAATTTACGATCAAACAGGACTAGGGAGGGAGCACCCAAAACATTAGTTAGCATTTTGATTTCACAAACATAAAGGTGATTTACTTAATTTATCACTATCAGTGGCGGCTCCAGGAAAGCAAATTAGAGGGGGGAGAGGGAGAGACTTGCACAGTTTGGGAAAGTAGATCACCTCAGCCCCACCATGGATTGGGGCTGAGGAAAGAAAATTTATGATTATGACACCTGATTGCCGGAAATGGCACTCTCAGACCTAAATTCTAATTATAATTTTCCTTTGTTTTTTCCATTTTTTAAAAATAATTTTGAAAAATGTAGGGTCGGCTCGGCCCACTTGAATCCGCCACTGATTATTATGATGTCATTGCGAGATTGCGTCAACGAAAAACTTTTGGTGGGCCTATCACTTAATCGAAATAGATAGACATATGCCTATCCGTGTCAAAGGCTGTATAATTATTGTTTAATAATGGCTATATAAAATTCAATTGACTAACTATAATTTTTTGAAATTAGGAAAAACAGTAATCCTAAATGTAGATAATATTAAACACTAGCATAACGTACGGGTCATAATAATATACAAAAGGAATAAATCGTTTATAGTAGAAATTGTGCACTTTCGAGTTTGTAAAAATATTGGCCTAATAAGTATACACGCTTCCAATTTTAACAACGTTCAGTACATTTTTTTCACAATAAAATAACCGTTGCAGCCATAAAATCGATCTAGTGGTTTCTGAAATGGTTACGAAATGTATAAACAATTGCGTTTTTACTCGGTTTTGGTCCGATACGTACCGCACTTAGAAAAGTGAACAGACAAAATTCATGAGTCATGCGTAATTGTTATTCCATTCGCTTTTAAAAGTGGGGATTTAAGTATAGAAGATTGGTGAAAAGTGGAGGGGACAATCGATATGATGTCCCCCTACTTTGAAAAGTGGGGGGTCCCCTGTCCCCCACCGATCGACGCCCATAATGGTAGTGTAATATATGGTAGTGTAGTGTATGTATGGTAGTGTAGTGTAGTGTAATTTATAGTAGTGTAGTGTAATGTATGGTAGTGTAGTGTATGATGGTAGTGTAGTGTATGTATGGTAGTGAGTGTAGTGTAATGTATGGTAGTGTAGTGTAATGTATGGTAGTGCAGTGTAATGTGTGGAGTGTAGTGTATTAGTGAAGTGAATGTTGGGTAGTGTAATTTAGTGTAGTGTAATGTATGGTAGTATAGTGTAATAATTGGTATATTTTCTGAAATGCGGTTGTTAGTTTCGGGGTTGCTACAATCAGGGAGTTGTAACAATCGATCCAACAAAGGAACAGAAGTATCAATTTCCAATAAGAAGGAGGATTTTGGATGCTATTTAAACTTTGCTGGAGATGTATTCATCATTTATTGTTTCTTTAAAAACTACATTAAAGTTCATATATATTGCAGTCGTTATTCGTTATTTGAAGGGAAAATTTTCAGTCGGTCTGCCAAAACCATATGATATATTATGTTTGAATGTTTTATTCCAAGTGTTTTAGAATGGATTATTGTATGCTGTTACTGATTCCTAATAAACCATTTCTTTGTAGCCGCATACCAAGTCATGTGCTCGTTCTACCTAGGGCCATTACAATAATCATCAACGTCCTCTTAACAGCGTCCCAATTGGTATTCACTGCATTTATTATTTTTAAATAACGGCTAACTTCCTTCAATATCATATACAATATACGACAGTATTTATTTCTAGCCGTATCTCCAGATTGATCTGGCCGAACGCCCTCTTGAGGCGTAGCATTGTGTAATACAATGTTCCCGACGGTTATTTGGACCTGTTAAAGATGTGTATAAGAGACAGTATCTGTAGGCTAATATGTTACTAAAAATAGAGTACTCTTCAAAGAAGCAAATACCTGTGCATCAATGACATCATAATCCGGTCTGCAATCTCAAATTAATTAATTTCCTGGAATGAATCCACAAACAAATATGCCTTGTATGGAGATCCAGGCTGGCTACCAATCGAGTCAATTCAAAACAATTTCATAATACAATTTTTTTAACAGACTTAAAAACATGGATGAAAAAAAAATGCCCACGAATTTTATTCAAAGCAATTAATCATGTTGAACCCTCATTAAAATGGAAATGGCTAGATACAATGAAAGGTATATTGAATAAATGTGATCTCTCAAGAATGTACAATACCGAACCTCAAAATAGCTGAATGTTAAAAAGATTAATAAAGAGACTGACGCTAAAATATGGTTTGAAAATTGTAAATTAAAAAGTTCACTAACAGAGTATATCAGATACAAAGACAGACCTATATTTAAACCCTATCTGCTAGACAAAATAAATTTCAAAGGAATTACATTAAAATTCAAAACACGAACTAATTCTCTAAACCTACAGGATAAAAAGCAGACATGGTCTGCACAAAACAATGGTTTTTGTAAATTATGCTCCCGAAATTTAAAAGAAACAACCGACCATTTGTATTTATTTGTGATAAAATCCAGCCATTTAGAAAAAAAAGGTTTATAATGATTTAAAAATAATCTTGTTAAATGGGGATTAGGTGAATTTTGGGAACTTTTTATAACCGGATCGTTAGATTATAAACATAATTTATTTCTCGATAATCTTGATGACCAATTCGGTAACCATAAATTAGCAGAAATATTTGATAATTCTTGTAAGGTAATTCTCGAAGGGGCATGGAAATTAAGATCTGAAATATATAAATCCATGGCCACATTACCACCCGTTAAACTTTAATTAATTTTTGTATTTCCTTTTAATTTGTTAATAAATATGAACCTTTATGATCTGTTAGTTCTAAGCTCTATATTTTGTTATAAATACCTTGTAAAATGTAAAGTAGAAATATAATTACTGTAGTTTTATTATTAATTAGTGTTTATATTCCCTTTAAATGTGTTACTGTAGTAAATATGAACCCATATTTGGTGTTCTAGCTCTGTATTAACTTGACTGCAACTCTGTAAATAATACGGTACTGTAAGACTACCGTACCACATAGGCCTACATGCCATGTTGATAAATTTTACTTTGTATATACATTTTAGTTTAATTTACTTCTAGTTTAAGTTTATTTTTATTATATTTGGATGCACCGTTATTGTCCATCGTGTGCCACTGTTACGAAAGTGATAGCCATTAAATTGAATTGAAAAAACACATGCACACGACCCTCCTTCCAAGAACCAGTGATCCAGTTGGTTAAGTCATTTGCATATATGCAGCAAAAGGTACTGGGTTTTAATCCCAGTTGGAGCAACTTCCCACACAAATGTATATATTTAATTCAAAATTAAAGTTGCAATACTTTTGGCACTATTCCATGTTTATTTATACCAGATGAATTTATTTCTCGATAATCTTGATGACCAATTCGGTAACCATAAATTAGCAGAAATATTTGATAATTCTTGTAAGGTAATTCTCGAAGGGGCATGGAAACTTCCCACATAAAT